AAGGAATTGGACCGGGTAATGGCCCCCATTTTAGGCCTGGCAACAAATGCTTCGCGTAAAAGGCCCTGCAAAGAAAATGGCCAGAACTTCACTCGGGAACGCTTTTTCTCTCTGCTTATTAGTTATACTAATGCATTGTATGTTCATTCTAGTTCCGCAACCAGTATGACAATGATGTCACAGTTTGGAGCCCTCAGGTAAGGCCTTCCTAAGCTTGCTAACTGGCTTTTTACCTGTGCTTATTTTTTCTTCACTTTTACAGCAGTGGTGTTGCAACAGCATGGGTTATACTCGGGTGCCTAAAGCTTATTATGGTCTGCTCCCTTCTTGTTTTGTAGGCTGTAGGTTTTTGGAAAGGCATTAGCACATCTCTGAGCTTCTGGTGTATGAGCTTGAAGGATGCTTAGGTGGGCCCTGTTACTTCAAAGTACTTAAAGCAGTTGTTTTCTGAATACACCTGTGAGGTACAAAATAGATGCTGTCATCATTGAGGGCTGGGCTAGATGATCTTTAAAGGTCCCTTCCAGCCCAAAACATTTTATCTATAAGATATATAAGATTATATTTATCTATAAGTTCTATAAGAAAAACTTGGTAAGTAAGGTATCAAAAAGCATGAAACTGAGCTTAAATCTCCCAATTATTAGGCTACTGCTCGGTCGTTCTGTCTTTATTCACTAGCTAATGTTGCAGTGGAGCTACTTTATAATTGGGAAGAACTTTCTTATTTTTTTAAGAGCTCTACTGTACCGTTCAGAACAAAATCAAATTATTAAGAAGTTAGTATTTAGTGCTTAAGTGGGAACAGGCTGACTTTTTCAAGTATGGCATAACATCACCTGTTTCTCTCTTTGTGCAGACAATTTTTACTCCCTTGTAAGCCCCTATTTGAATGACTGTACCCATATGACAATCTGAAGCATGGAATCTGAGATACTAATTTTTGTAATATGAATTCACAGATCTTAATTTTCAGAATTGAAATGGTCACAAACATCCCTGTTGAATAAATTCCATGTATAAGGTTTATACTACACCCTAATACCGAGAGCTAGAACATGCAGGTCATTAAATGCCATATAATTTTGTTATACAGTTTACATTGTGTTTCAGTGATGAAGTCTGTGCAAGCTGTGTCTTCCTAGTTTCCCATGTTGTTGAATGTTAGAGAGGCTTCACACCATTTCACTTCACACTTAAGATTATGTTGAGATTTGCACTTGCATTTGAAATTTTATTACCTCTGAATCACTTTCACATTGTATATTCTTCTAAAACTTAGGCAGGTTGTGTTGACATCGAAATAAATATTCTAGAATTTTAAAAGCAAGTGTCAGGTGTTTAATATTGCCTCTTCTCTTGGTATGTACATTTTAAGATAGGACACTTCTGGAAAATTGGAGTCTTGAAAATTGACTAGTTTCTGGATTTAGCAAAACTAAAGATTTATTATAAATGCAAATAGAAGATTGTATTAGTACAAAATTATTTTCATTAGTTTGTGGGTTTGTATTACTAATGAAAATCTTCATTGTGTAGTTACATTGTTTGGAAGATACATTTTCAACATACATTGTAACAGAGCGTGTTTCATACTTTCCCTCCAATATGAAGATAGCCTTGAATATTTTAATGTTCTTTAGTCAATACCATGACAGTTTTAGATAGATAGCTTTGAACTGTTTTCATCCTTCTTAATGATTGTGTTTCTCTGGCAGAATCTGTATCAGAAACTTTAATTTTAAATTTTTAATCTATCTGTTACTTTAAAATTACTTTTAAAACTATAACATTCTCTTGAGACTTAGTAGATACCATGAAGTCATTGACAACGCTAATTTCTATTTTATTCGTAAATTGCCTTGAAAATGTTAATAGTGTTGATGTCTTTTATAAAAGACATTTTAAATTGCTACTCTGCTGCAATTACTGCTCCATACATTCCTGTAGGTGAGGCAGTGATGTGATACAGTAATAATTATTGGCCTTGTTAATACAGGAGCAAAGAATAATCATATCTTATTGGGGGGTGTTTTCAAATATTGTTGTAAAGAAAAGGAGATACGAGAGTGAAGGCTAGAAGGGGTTTCACACTTGTACAGCCTTTGAAGTCATTCATAGAAGTTGATAAATACATGTTGGACATGTCACAGTGATTCCATACTGCTCTTGGGTGGGAAATACCCTATGTTATTGAAATTCCATTTATAACTTAGTGGGTGAAATGGAACGTTTTAAGCATCTGGTGGATTTTGTATTTCTCTAGATAAATTAAATCAAAAACCTTTTACCAAAAAAAACCCCAACAACCTAATAGAAGGTGAGTTCCTGTAGATTATGCCCAGTACTTTTCACTATAACAGCTACTACATTCCAGTCCATCACAACTGGTAGGATGCAAATGTGTGCTGCAGTTCGTAATTCCAGGACTTGCACAATAGCAGTGAACATGCTGACTATTTGACATAGGCTGGCCAACTAGATAGAGTGCAGAAAATTAGCCACTTTGCCCTCAGTGGTTGCATTGAAACGATGTCTTACTTTCCTGCAAAGCTCTTGGTCACTTTTACAGAACTTGGGGGGGCTTAATTGCCTTTGAGACCTCTACTCCTCTTTCAGACTTGTCTGCAGTTGACTAATAACTTGTTCAGAAGTTATTAGGGAATGGATGGTGAGACACAACAATTGCATAAGACCCATTTCTTCAGGAAACTCGATTAAAAGTTAAGCATCCAACTTCAGCTGGAAGTTCCGTCTTTGAATCACGTTGGGTCAAATAGTGATTCCCCTGAAGACAGTGACAAAAGTCTTGCGATTCTAATAATGTCAAAATTATTCATCCTTTTTAGTTTTCCTGTTTCTTTGTATGCAGTAGCGAGTGGCTCAGAGAATGCCAGATTTATGTGGGCTAACGGTGAGGTGTTTGCGGAAGAAATGGAGGAAGTTTATTGGTTGTAGGTTTAAACTGTGTTATGCTGTCAGTGTACCCCTTGGGGTGGGGGAATCAAAGGTCTGAAAATCAAGAACCATTGAAAATTGATGCAGAGGATTAATTTTAGAATGATTGCCTTTGATTTTATTCTATAGGGCCGAATTCATCAAATAGAATACGCCATGGAAGCTGTGAAACAGGGCTCAGCTACTGTGGGGCTGAAATCAAAAACGCATGCTGTTCTGGTTGCTCTAAAGGTAACTTCAAAACCGTGTTCGTGGGACAATAATGTTAGTAGAAAGGTTTTGGTCTGGCAAATTAGTTTTGCACAGTCTGAACTTTTACATGTAATGTAAACACAATCCCAGTTTCCTCTTGCTTGAGTACCAATATAGAACTATAAATATTTTCATTACCGATGCAAAGCAGATTTTCACATAATGGTGAAGGAAATGAATGAAAGGGGTTTGGGGTTTTTTTCCTTTTAAAAGGTAAGTGTTCCCCTCCTTTTTTTTTTTTTTTTGTTTTTTCATTAGTTCTTCAGTAGTAAAACTATTTATTTCTTATCCCAAAGCTTGAGTGAGTGTCTGTGTGTTCTTTCTTTCTGACAGCCTCCTCCTGAAGTGGAATCAGGTTTTTCTTATCTTCTGTTGCAAGTTCATGAATTTATTTTTTTTTATTGTTTCATGATGATATTTAGTTCTTGCTATAAATGTTAGCAGATTTCTCCACAGTGCTTGGCAAACTGTTCAGTCTGCCACATAGCTTTCTCTTTTATGCATAGAGAGCACAATCTGAGCTGGCAGCTCATCAGAAAAAAATCCTGTACGTTGACAACCATATTGGTATCTCAATTGCTGGACTTACTGCTGATGCAAGACTCTTGTGGTGAGTATTTTAGTTGTTGACATACATAGTTCTGCAATAATGAGTGAAAGTTCATTTGTAGACTATTGCAAATTAAATTTTATGGTCAGCTAAGGATTAGTCTTGAGTTACTGCTCTGTTGTACTATGCCAAAGACCTCAGCATGTAATTCTGGCAGATTTTTAACTAGTTGGCAGAAATCTCATTTGTTTGGCCCAAAATTTTGCTCTTTGGTTTTGTTACTAGTAAGACTGTCCTGTCTGGTTTCCTCAGTGTGGTGGGGTTTCCAAGCAGTCTGAGAAAGTGCATCACTTATTTCCCTCTAGCAGCTGCTTCTGTGTACACACATTTAAGAAAGTTATTAAAAACATACACTGCTGTACATCTCGGCTGCAGAGGGGGTTTGCTTTTTGCCTGCTGGCCACATAGTTTCATCAGATGAGGTAAATTAATGCAGAAGGAGGAGTGTTCCTCAGTTTGACAGGAAAGGACAAAGAAGGCATAGAAGGAATTTCTAAAATAAATTTTAATTGCTGTAATGTTACAAAGATATGTTACTGTTTAACTGTGGCTTTTTTCCAGATGGTCCATCTGTTGCCTGCTGTGAACTTCTACCTTCTTTGCATTTGTACGGCTGAAATACTATAAAACTCTTTCAAACCTGTGGTCAACTTTCTAAATAACAATTATAGGTCATGATGAAATGAAATTATGTAATGCCTTTGACCCTTTTTCTCAACAAGCAGAGCTGAAACAAAACTATGCTTACCTTAACAGACAAGTATTGAGACAAAAACTCCTGAGTTTCGTCTATGAATTGGTTTGATGTTTTTTTCTTTTTTTTTTTTCTTTTTTTTTTCTTCTCCTAGCAATTTCATGCGTCAGGAGTGTCTGGATTCTAGATTTGTGTTTGATAGACCTCTTCCAGTTTCTCGCCTAGTGTCACTAATTGGAAGCAGTATCCTTTTTTTTTTTTTTACACTTTTGTAGCTTTTTACTTGTTCCTACTTGTTCCTAAAATTATTTTCTTATATCACAGCTTAAAAGTCATTAAATTGAAAAAGTTAACTCAAAGTTAATTTTTATTCATGTTGCTTGTGTACTGTTTCAGAGAACATCCTATAATACGCACTGAACTACTAGAGAAACTAAAGTGCTATGCAACATTTAACATAGCATTGTTTTGCTGTTACACAGCCCTGTGCCTTTGGAGGTGGGGGAGGAAAGATGTTCAAAATTGTTCAAAATATGATTATTTACTGGATTGCAGCTGCTCACTCAGATTTTTTTTTTTTTTTTTTTCCTGTGGCATCTTCTGTCTCTGCATGGAACACAGCAGAGGCCTTTTATTCTGTTACCAGGTGCCTAGAAAAAGTTCACAGGGATAGGAAATTAAATGAGGCCGTGCAGCATTAGATGAACTGTTTCTAGTACTTGAATTGGTTGAACGCAACACTCAGTTATTTCGGGAAAGCTAAGTGCTAAATCTTCTTTTGGTGAAAAAGGTGGTGGTATTCCAGATAAGTTGCAAGATCTGTTTCTTCTGAACATAGCCTCCACTCCTGCAAAAAGGTTTGCAAAGACTATGTAACAATTTTGGTGCATCTCTGCTTGGCTTAGGAAAATGTTTTGGGTAATTAACATGTTATTTTTGAGATTGTTTCCTTAGCTTACTTAAGAAACCCAGATACCAACGCAGCGTTATGGCAGAAGACCATATGGCGTAGGACTGCTCATTGCAGGTTATGATGTAAGTAAGCTGTGCTAGTTACTATTGATGTAAAAGAAAATGTGCTTAATGAAACCAATCGATGTTAAAAGGGGAAGATGGAAGAGGCAGACTCATCAAAATTCTCTGAATAAGGAAATAATTTTTTGTGTCTTAACCTAAAACCTCACTTTAAAAAATGTTAATAGCTAATCCTACCTACACTTACGAGATGTACCTCTGCAAAAATAAAAAACTAAGGTGCAAAATGAGATATGGCAAAAATTAGATTTGTTTGTGTTTTAAGGGATCAAAATGTTGATCCTGTGATGAAGTAATTATTTTACTATTGATTATGGGAGCTTTACAAACTATTATTTTAAATACTTTTTATAAAAGAAATGGATGTGGAAATCATCACTGGCCTCTCACTTGTTTAGCAACAGCAGTTTGCTTAATGCAGTGCACACAGAATCACTGCCCTCAAGATTTTTGACATGAGGAAGGTTAAAGGAAATTGTTGTCTTGCCTGAAATCTGGCATGGCATGGTTAAGGCTACAGCAGGTTTTTACTTTTGTGTAGATAATACAAAATGAGTGTAAAATACCTGCCATGAGGTAGGAAGCACAGTACGGGTCATGGTGCCAGCTATCCTGCCCACATAAAAACTGCATTTTAAGGAACAAAGCGTAAAGAAATTTTTTTTTTTTGGTAGATTATTCCGTTTTGTTTTTTTTTTTTATAGTAGCTTTGAAGAAATTGTATAAGAACAGTGATATGATAAGCAATATATTTATGTGCATACATACAAGCTATGCAATGTACCACGAAGCAAAACTGTTTTAGAAAGTACCATATGTTCCAGCAGCAGACTTGGTATGAATTTATACATTTGGTTTACGTTCTGTGGGGTTTTTTTTCCTCTCTTTGTAGGATATGGGTCCTCACATCTTCCAGACTTGTCCCTCTGCGAACTACTTTGACTGCAAAGCAATGTCCATTGGTGCTCGTTCACAGTCAGCACGAACTTACTTGGAGAGACATATGACTGAATTCACTGACTGTGAGTAATGAAACCCTGTCTATCGAATGGCATTCACCAATTATGCAGTTTATTTTCTGCTACTTTCTTTTACATTTAGTAAGATAGAAAGATAAATTTTGGGAGCCAAGTTTGGCCTAAGTGTAAACCTGCATGAAGACGAAATTGTAGAGAAAATGTTACAAATTTTCATGTCGTTAACATCTGGATGCTTATTACATCTAATGAAAAGAGAAATTGTGCTACAGAAGCAGAGAAAAAAGTAAAAGGCTTCTGCCCTGTTTAACCCAGGGAAAATGCAGTTATTCCCATATCAGAGCAAGGATAGTATGTCAGGGCATGTGTTTAGGTGGTGCATTTAAAATGGTGAATTTATTTTTGTATGAAATGATGATGAGGAGGATACTGGATAGCTGCTTGGGGAAAAAAAAGCATGGTTATCACTGCATTGGAGGCAAGGCAGGTGCCAAAAACCAGTTGCATTTGACTTCAAATATAGGGAAGGGCTGGTTTCTCAAGGTACGCTTTTATAACCAGCTCTGTGTGCAGTACCAGAAAGAAGAGCAGCTCTGGAACTTAAGTTAGCCAAGCTGATTAGTTTCTCGTTGTCAGCTAGGAATGGGAAGAAGGGGAAATGAGTGTCTGGAGACAATACCATATATTTTGTAAATGTCTTTCTGATTTCATTTTAAGGTAATCTAAATGAGCTAGTTAAACACGGACTGCGTGCCCTGAGAGAGACTCTTC